GCCCCCTGCTGTGGTGGGCTTGTTTTCCACCACCACCACCATAAGTTGGAGGGGGAGGGGGTCCTCCTCCTCCTCCTCCTCCTTCTCCTCCTCCTCCTCCTACTCCTCCTCCTCCTCGTCCTCCTCGTCCTCCACCTCCTTCCCCCCTCCAACTTATGGTGGTGGTGGTGGTGGAAAGAAGCCCATCATGCTGGCGTCTCCTGGGCTTGGGAGGAGACAGTCAATCTACAGGCAGTCGCAGCCGGTCGGGGCTAGGATTGAAAAGTCGGGCACGTCCCTCTGCAGGAGGAGCCTGCAAGAATAGCTCAAGCATGGTGTGGTGACGACTGTTCGTGCTCTGGTTGCCTAATTTTTATTGTTTTCGACTATTTCCATTTTTCTCCCAAGATCCGCCTGTAGGAGGGCATGCCCGACCTACGGATAGGACGGGGATCAGAAATCCATTCCCGAGCGTTCCGCAGCGCTCTCGGAGCATTCCAGAGCGCTTTGGGGAGGCCGCGGCGCCCGAGACGTCCTCAAGAAGCGCCAGATTTCAGAGATTCTTGATGCATCTTCCTCCTCCTCCTCGTCCGTCGTCGTCTTCGTCGACGACGACTGGAAGAAGCGACAAGTAAAGCGCCTAAACATACAAACATACGCTTTCGGAGGTGCGCGCGGATTTCTTGGATCGGCGCCTGGGGCCCCCCCTGTCGGCCATTACCCTATCGATGTGTTTTGGTGCCGACAGGCGTTTGTGGTGTAAAATGCAGGCCCGTCGGTCAAACGGCGCGGGTTCATACGCTGACGCGCGTGAAGACACGACTCGGCACGCGCACGTGCACGAGCACGTTGACGACATCTCGCAGCTGAGCGCGGCAGGGCCACTGGTTGACAAGATGCGGCGCCTCGACGCCGAGTTGTTGGATACCCCTCTGGGCTATCCGAGATTGGTTTGCCAGCGTGGGCCCCGAATCTCAAGTTCTAAGTTCTTGCAGTCTGCATGTATCCGACACGGGGGTGTTGCGTATCTCTTTCTCTCTCTCTCTCTCTTTCTCTTTTTTTTTTCTCTCTCTCTCTCTCTTTCTCTCTCTCTCTCTCTCTCTCTCTCTCGGTCTCAAACTATTGTAGCCTTCGGTCCATCCCGCCACCGTGCTTGGCTTGCGGGTCAGAGTTGTCAGGGATGCTTCTTCGGGTCTATTCGGAACGCTCTCGGGTGCCTCTTGGGGGCAGCTTGGGGGCATCTTGGGAGCCTCTTGGGGGCCTCTGGAGGGCCTCTGGAGGGCCTCTTGGGGCATCCTGGGGCATCCTGGGGGCTTTGGGGAGGCCTTTGGGGGGCCTCATGGGAGCCCCTTGGGACCGAGAGCTCGACATGTCCGTTTGGGTCCTCCATCTGGGCCCCCCCTTGGAGCCGTATTTGCCTCTTGGGCTGTCTTGGGTGCTTCTTTGGCCGTTGTGGGGTACTATTGGGCCGTTTTGGTGCCCTCTGGGAGGCCTCTTGGGCCGTCTTGGGGCGATCTTGGGGGCCCCCAGGCCTATGCGTCGAGAAGCCGAAAAGGCGAGAACGCCAAAAACTGTGAAAACAGAAGTGCAATGCATGATTTGGGCCTCTTGGGGCCCTCTCGGGAGGCCTCTTGGAGGCCTCTTGGGTCGTCTTGGAGGCCTCTTGGGCCGCCGTCTGGGGGCCTTCTTGGGCTTCTTGGAACGATCTTTCGGCGACCCTGGACGCTCTTGGACTGTTTAGGCGGCCTCTTGATATTTCATTGACCCGTATTGGGGCCCTCTTGGGCGACGGGGCCATCCCGGAGGTGCGAGAAACCATGGCGGCGCACGAGAGCGCCTGGCAGCGCCCGGTAATTTCGTGGTCGGGGCCCCCTTCCACTCCATCCACCCTTCGGAGCTGCATAAGCCCTGGGACACTCCACAACGTGCCGAAGGCACGGTGGCGGATAAATTTGTGTTGTACAGCCCTTGAGACGTTACTCTTGGTACGCAGGCTATGTGGTGCAAGCTCCCTATATTAATCTATGCGGCGACATGAATGTGAATAACTCGCAAGTGTTTACTTCAATGCTCAGACAAAGAACGGTATGAATAATATTGATTGAGGTGTGTTTTCGCTCCTTGGACGTAGCGTCCTGCACTTTGATGTTCCGCATCCGTTCTGGCTCCAAGTTCTGAGAGGCCCAGCTCCTCCGCGGATGGACGACGGGTCGCCCCCCCTTTGGGCGACCCTGCTGACCGATTGGGGGCGCGAGCCAGTTTCGGGAAGGGCCTGCGGCTCCTTTGGTGCCAACGCGGCCGGCCCCATCTCCGCCCAGCCACGGCGCGGAGGACACGTGCCACTGCTCCTGCGACGAGGAGCTGCGGAGCATCATCGGCATCCAGGCGGAGGTTTGGCTGCTGCGCAATCTGCTGGCGGCTGGTCTCGGCGCGCTGTGCCTGGCGGTCCTGGGCGCGGGGGGGCTCTGGGACTTCTGGCGGGCTGCTGCGGACGGTGCAGGCGGGTGCATCGAGCAAAGCCGCCACCCGAGGCGTTGCTTGGCCCCGACGCATCGCGGGTTCCCAGGTCTCCCTCACGTGCTGCTCCGAGGTTGCCGTGACTCCGAATACGTTTCCTCATCGGCGTGGTGGCGGCTCGAACCTTAGGCACTCGTGAGCCACAGGTGCTGGTGAACTACCTGGCGGAGGAGCTGCCCTGGCACCATCGTGTGCTCCTGCATCGCGTCGAGGGTGGCGCGTGGATGGAAGCGACGCCAGACCACGACACCGTTCGGGTCGACGTGACCGCCCTGAGGGACCATGTGCTGGATCGCGCGGAGGTGCTCCCGCGCTGGGTCGCCCCGCACCTGCACGAATTCGACCCCAGCGACCCCCGGACCCTGAGGGGCCTGAAGCGGCAGGCCCTGCGGCGTGCTGCCCTCTTGGACGGAGGACATGTCGAGGACGCGAAGGAGTATGTGTGGTTTGTGACTAGCGTTGGTGGCGCTCGCGTTCGTAAGGCCGTTGACAGAGACCTTGAGGATGATGAGACGTGCGTGCAGCTCGGTGATCGTGGTGTGTGTGTCTGTGTATGATAGGCGGCGACCTCCGCTTCGTGGAGAAGATTACCCCGCATCGATCGAGACCGTTGGGTACGTAGTCGCGACGAGGATACTGGTGATATCCACGTTCTGGGCGACTACCGCAGGAGGGTCGGCAGGCGAGGTCTTGACATTCGAGACGCGATCGGCTCGACGCAGCAGGATACGATGACGGAATGGCCCGATCAAGAGCTGCAGGCTTGCTGCGAGAACTTCCAGTACATCGCGCAGAGCGCGGGCAACCTCCTGACCTGCCAGGCCGAGCGGCAGCGGCTCAGCGGCGTCGCCGAGGGCGGGGCCCAAAATCACGTGCATCGTTTTCATTCCGAGACGCTCAGGCGGGCGATCTGCCATGATCAGTTGAACGTGGCCAAGCTCACGTGCTTTGAGGAGTCGTCCAGTGGGCGATCCAGGCGGAGGTGGCGGCGGCGAGGAACCCGAGGCGCCCCGGCATCTCAGGGCTGGAGGACGCGGCGGCCGGGCCCCGCGCGGCGGGCGGCTCGGCCCAGGCCCCGAAGCATCTCGGGCGCGCCGCGACGAGGCAGGAGGACCGGGCAAACGTCCGGAAGCAGCAGCGTCTGCACCAGGAGGAGACGGCGAAGCGGCTCTCAGTCAAGGGCGACGGCAAGGGCGACCGGGCCGACGAGGCTCATCCGAAGCGGAAGGCGAGGAAGAGCGCCCCGCCATTCAGGCGCTAGGAGGGGGGGTCGCCCGCGCGGAGGGTCTGGCCAGGCCCGCGGATGGCGCGCGCCGCCCACGCGGAGCCATCGAGCTGCGAGGGAAGTATTGGTAGTCGGATAGCCAGTGGCTCCAAGACGACCCGCGCCCGCTCACGACCCCGCGCGAGAAGGAGCGGCCCGCGGGCGCGCGACGGTGCCACCACAGAACCCGACGACAAGAGCGATTTCGGGAGACGGCTGATGCCCTCAACCACTTCGCTGCTGCACAGACGAATTCGATTGACGGCAAGGTTCCACGAGTGCGTCCACGGGGTGGCCCGCTGACTGCGGCCCACAGGATTGTCTTGGCTCGCGCGGGGGCGAGGGCCAGGGCCCGCGGCGAGCCCCATCACGAAGCGACGGGCGGCGAGCGGGCCCTGCGGGGGGCCCCCGAGTCTGCCGAACAGCGCGAGGCGGGGCCGCGACACCTGGCGCGCTACTACCCAGACAAGCCGAAGATCGCCTCCTGCGGCCCGCCCCCGCGTCGGCCTTGCCCCCGAAGGCTGCAGCAGGTTATTTCAAGCACTTCGAGAGCAGGTGGAGCTGGCCACGCCGGAGCTGGAGGCTCGCCGCGAATCCTTCGGAGGGCCCCCGACTCTTTACTGGGGCCCGATTTTGCGGAGAGGTTGGTCGGTTCGTCAAGACTTCTGCCGTCGGCTGGCGGGGGTTTGGAGCGACTGGGCGTCGCAGGGCGATCAAGAGCCGCCGCGGTGCTTCTTCGCGCCACAGACGGGCGATCGCGCCCGATTATTTTGCGACGCTCGGTGGGCAAAAATTTGCCATCAGCGCCCTGCTCGCGCCGCGCGGGGGGGGCCAGCCGCGCTGGGCGAGATGGGCCTCGGCCCGCCCGCCGAGGGGCTCGGCGGCTGCGGCAGCGCGCCGGCGCCGCCGCTCGACCTCCACTCGCGGGGCGTCGACGTGAAGGGGTGCTTTCATCGGCACGAGGTGGGCGCCGCGGCAATTTGGTTCGGCGTCGACTGCGCGGCCGCCGTCGAGGAGCAGGGCCGGCGACTTCCCGCGCGCAAGATGACGACGCGACGGGCCCCGCGCCCCCACGACCTGGAGAGATGTTACATCCTGCAATGCGGTCTCTACCCATGGGCTGGGTGCCGGCGCTCTACTTCACTCAGGAGGTCGCGGCGAATTTGGCCGAGCGTGGGCGCCCGCGGGGATCCAATCAGCTGCCGCTGGACAAGTGGCCAGCCCCCCTCCTGCGCCCTGG